TTGTACATAAATTAAATTATAAAAAAATTGAATTAAAAAATTACAAAAAAAAATAAGGAATTTCAAATAGTTAATTTGATACTAAATACTAATATCGATATATTTTTATCAAATTTTTATGATATCTTCAAACATATATTTTATTCAAAAATAAAAACATCATCGTTTTCTCAAAATAACATAAAGCCATCATATTAACATCGATTGAGATAAAGAATAAAATGAAATACTAAAATCACGATTTATCTCGCTGCATTGCGCGAGTACGCTTCTAGTATAAAATAAAAGATATAAAAAATTAAATAGAATAAAAATTGTACTAAAAATTAATGAATTTAGTTTAACCGAAAGGGTGATTTGTCAAAACCGACTTGCTTTTCAATTCAAATACACGGTTAAGCATTCTCATTTCCTCCTTCTTTTTCCTCCCAGGTGAAATCGTGAATTCTGATCGCCATTTCAATTTTGTCTTCATTCAACCTGGTTCGTAGATCCCTTTTAATTACCCTTTACATGCATTCATTTCTATTACATGTTAATTGCTCTTTTCATTCCATTACCAAATTTTGTAATGTGTTTGTTTAATCAATGATCCACTTCTCATAGTTTTTGGATCATTGGTTTGATCTGTTACAAAATTCTGTCACCTTTTCATATAAATGTATTGTTTAATGACCAGAACAGAGGATGTCTTGTTTAATCCTACAATATAGCATTCAAAAGATGATAAATTGGGGAACAGGATATGATTTTTGATTGTTCATATTAGGATATTTTTTTGGCTAATTGTTGGAAATTATGTTTGTGTGCAGTAAATATTATGTTTGTGTGTAGGAAATTATGTTTGTGTGCAGTTCCACCTCGCCATGAAATGTTATGGAGACTGATATAGAGTTGGGTGGTGCAGGAGACTGCGATTAACGAATACTTCAAGCCAGTTGATAAGCAGGCTGAAATGATAGTGGAAATGCAGCTTAAAGAAGAGGAGAAGACAATGAAACAGATGATGCACACTATGAAAGTACAAGCTTTCGAAAAAGAAATGGAGAAAAATGCAAATCTGAAAATTGATGAAACAAAGCAGGAGACCACAGACAAAGCTGAAGCAGGAGGATTAAGATGATGATTACAACAAACAAACATCAAAACTTGGTATGYTTTCTATCAAGTTATTGGTTGGAAAGTTTCTCATGTTTCTTGCTGATTTTAGCATGGAAGTCCTTAAGGTCTGTTTGAATAAAATTTCAACCATAAACCAGTTTATACTATACATGCAATGCAGCAGCAGAATAGAACTAAATAAGACTATGCAACTGCAGATGTCTCAAAATCATCATCTAAAGATGGATACAAAATAGAAAATTTTGAAACCTTATTATATTGATTGAGAAAAATAATAGGAATTTAACCAAATTTGTTACATTTTAATGTCTTTTATCCTAAAAAGAACCTTTTTTATATAATTTGTAAAGAATGTTAAGTTGTGCTATTTGTTGGCATAAAATATGGTTTGAAGGTGTCATCAATTGACTTATTTATGAAATCTTTTAATTTAAATATTCTACTTTTGAAAAGAATAAATGATAATGGTTTTGGATTTCTTTTAATTTAAATATATTTTATTTTATGACTCTTGACCCCTAACACATTGAAAATGTTACTAGTCAAACAAATGGAATATATATATATATATATATATATATAGTTGTTATCTATAATGATATTGTCATTTTAATACCAAAATAATGTCTTTCTTATAAGGTGTTGGTATGTGTTGTGAACTTCATTACTGTCATTAAATGTAAAATCAGTTTGACTAAGCTATTTTTGATTTTTGACTTTTTGAGTGTTGGTTCTTATGGGATGAATGATTTAGGCGTTGTTTGGTTGATTTTTCATTAAGTTTTTTATTGATAAAATTGGTTGAACAAGATGCTTTCTATATCATTAAGTTGTTACCAAACAATCATGTATAAGTTGTTATAAGCTGAATTTTGGATACCTCGATCTTTCTCTATTTTCGGGTGTTGGACCATCAAGTTCTATACAAGTCGGATCATATAACAATTCAGATCCTCGATGCTAGGCAACAAATTATAATCTTACAACATTTTATGTGTTTAAACGGATGTTATATTTTTGTGTTTTCTTCAAATCCAAATAGTCGAGTCCAATAAGAGTAAATTACAAGAATCGTTGTGGTTTATGAAAACTTTGGTTTCATTACTCGACTTTAGTAAATATGCTACACTCTATAGTTTGCATTTCGTTTCGGATTTCGTTTTTTGTGTCACTAACAGGCATTAAAAGTTGTCATTTAAGTGCCCCTGCATGCTGGTCATGTGAAGACATTATGGTCATTTCCTTTTTCTTTACAAATTTTTAAAATCGTACGACTAATCAGCGATCCCTGGGCCTACCTAACATAGATGTCCATGATATAGGGGATTGGGTGATCGGAAAGCTCGGGCAGGAGTAGGACATTCCATACAATTCCCTTCAAATCCTACAGAGCGTGATTCTGTTCTTGTTAGGTCTAATTAGAATTTTGCTTATTCAACGACCCCTTCCTCTGAGCTGGTTTTAGCTCTGGCAAACAACGAGTATGTAAAACATATGTACAACAATGTAAAGTCGAAATCTTGAGTCCTAAATTAAGCCACTCAACAAACAAACATACGCATGTGACAACTCCGGTGGTTTTATTTCCAGAGGTTAATCGCACTATTCATCGTCCAAATCTCTCTTTCGATAAAACCTTTTTTCTACAACCTCAAACCAAACACACTTCAAAAATCATTTTTTAAAATTTTATTTTTTGAATGTGTTGCAATAATCAATTTCAGAGAAAAAAAAACCCATATAGAAATATCATGTTAAGCTTCCAAAAAGCACCTTTCAAAGAAATATATTGTTAATTTCCATGAAAATGAACCCACTACAATTTGGTAAAGTTACCAATTCCTTTTTGGATGAAATATTATTCATTTATTTGAGTTGTCATTATCATCTAAGGTGGTGTGTTTTTTTTAAAAAGCTCTTATTTTATCATTTATGTCTCATTCGGTTAGACATAAGAAAATTCAGACCGTTTGTTTTTCTTTTTCTTTCAGAATCACTTATCACTTATTTTCCTCTTAAAAATTAAGTGATAACCTAGCCACTTATTTTCCTCTTAATCCTGAAAATTATCCAGAGAACCGATTTCTACTTCATCATTCGATCGACTTCACCCTCCTCATCGTCTCAATCGATCGAGTTCACCCTCCATCGCCTCTGGTAGCTTCAAATCGACCCAAATCAGATCCAAATCAAGAGGCTTTTCTTCCCTGTGGGTTTTCGCTACTGTGTGTTTTCGTTCCCGTGCAAACCAGTAGTTGTGCACCTTTTATCCTCATGAATCAAGGTATTTCTGTCCCTGTAGTTTTCGTCATTGTAGTTTTCATCATGATGGATATTTGCTTCGATTTTAGAGGTGGATTTGGACGTTGGATTTTAGAGAAGGAGTGGTGGTGGACGGTGGTTGATGGTGGTAGGATGAGGGTGGAGATTGAAAATGGAAGGCTTGATCTGGAAGAGAAGGAAGAATTAAGGGAATCTTGGGAACACAAGCAGAAGTGAAATCAGAAATTATACATATTGATATGTTTTGTTGGTTACAAAAGCAAACTATTGATTCAGATTTCAGACTTCAGACGTTGTCAGTTTACAAAAACAAACAATATGACTGATTCAGATTTCAGACTTCAGCATCACCTCTTAAAAATCAGAAGTGAAATCAGACTTCAGACTTCAGCACCTCTTAAAAAATAAATGCCACCTAAGGTTTTTTTTTATATGTTTGTTTACCTCTTAATATAGTTCTATTAAAAGACAACATCTGAATCGTTAAAAAATTAACAGAAGTTGGTTTTTTAATAGATCTAAAACTCTTTCCGAATGATTTTGTATTCTGGGCCTTCCAAAACCATTAAGCATCCTAATTTTATTCTGAACAATTATCAAACAACCATATTTTAATTTGCATTATATCATAAGAGTTTCTTCGTCATTCTGCATCAAACCATTTGGATCTCGTAAAATTTGGATCTTGTAAGGCATTTCGGATCTTGATGCCTTTTATATTCCATTTTTATATAAATTTGGATCAAGACACAATTTGACCTTTACTTTATATTTCGAATTCTAGACAAAAATCTTAAAACTTTTTAAGTGTTATATCAGATATATTTGTATAATCATCAAATAAAATGGTYGGGACCAACGATTAGATATATTAAAACTAATAAAATGTCATTTCACACAAARTTCAAGGTAAGAACCAAAGTTCTAGTATAAATGTAAAACCCTCAWMTTTGGAAATAACGTCTAATTTAAAATTTCTAATAATACATCAAATAAGRACCTGATACATATGYCGACAAAGAAAAAAGYTAAACTTAAYGTCTAGTGAGTTCAAACAGTTTCATATTAAATATAAAAATRGTAAAACTGAAAAGATGTTATTTAAATCATAATTTCCAAATTGAAATACATTTAAGTATAAAAGGATGTTATTATCRTGATGAAAACGCATTTACCAAAACRTTCCTTTATTCATAGAACCAAAGTCCAATATTCACCCAAAAATGAAATGAGATTAAATGCCCAAAATATAAACAATRTTTAATACTCAAACCATAAATAATGAAAAATACTCATACCCAGCACGTCACAGAAAACATGGWTAAAACTCAATACCCAAACAACACCTTTCAGTGACAAGGGAGACCCATTTCTATGATTAGTGGCGGAACATAAAAGTATGCCATAATTCCATGTTATATAACTCATCTTGAGGATCAATGGCCCAATGGGATCAATTGTTTGCGATTCATAGTTCAAGGCCCGCAATAATCTTAGGTACACTCATTCACTAGAAATTACATACGTGGCCAATGACTAGTATCTGACTCCCATAAGACGTACCTAGTTGCCCTCAATGACCCAATGTCTATTTCTAGCTACAATATGGGAATAACTATCCCATTAAATTGACTCAGAAATGACACCATGGGGGTTAATGGCAGATGTTCTACTTCAAGAGCTTGCATCATAATGCCCCCGATGACCCAATGACTATTCCTGGCCACAATGTGGGAACGACCATTCTATTTCAAATCAATAAAGACCGACTCCTATATTTATGGAACTTTTGCATTACAGTCTAAATTCATGACCCCAAATGAATGACCACACACTCAAAACATGTAATATTTCAAATAAATATGCTATAATTGCATATAACTTTAAAGCTTGACATAAAGCAAATAAACCGTATAAATATCCCTAATA